AGGAATAGGTGAGTATAGCTCAACCCCCGCAAGTGATCCCTACACCTGGAGCCATGCCTTGCTATCTGAGCTGGGGTAATGCCCAAGTTACTGGGAGACCTGGCATTATAGTGCCAGACAGAAGGCTATCATTGATCAGTGCCCAAGGGCATCACAATTTCACTGTAGTTTTAGGAGGAATCAGTGTTTTAATAGAAAAATTTTTTTTCAATATTTATTTTTTAGTTTTTTGGTGGACACAACATCTTTGTTTGTATGTGGTGCTGAGGATCGAACCCTGGCCGCACACATGCCAGGCGAGCGCGCTACCGCTTGAGCCACATTCCCAGCCTGAAAATTTTTTTTTAATTTATTTATTTTTCTCCATTTTGGTACTAGGAATTGAATTCATGGGCACTAAACACTGAGCCACATCCCCAGCCATTATTCATATTTATCTAGAGACAGAGTCTTACTGAGTTGCTTAGTGCCTCACTTTTGCTGAGGCTGGCTTTCAACTTGAGATCCTCCTGCCTCAGCCTCCCAAGATACTGGGATTACAGGCATGCACCAACACACCCCACCTTTTATTGGTTCTTTTAAATTAAATATAAAGTTAGGATTTATTTTGACATAATTTTAACAGTATGCAATATAATTTGTTCTAATTCAGTCCCCACTACTTCCCTTTTCCCTCCCCTCCTCCCTCTGCCTGTTCCCTTCCCTCTATTCTACTCATCTTTCTGCTATTTACTTATAGGTTTTTTTGTTTGTTTGTTTTTTGTAAGATTAGTGTCTTGTGGATACACATGATGGTGAAATTCACTTTAAGTGGATTTGGAAATAATTTTCAGATTGGACAATGGGATGATACATAACTTTGTGGATGGGTCCTTTTGGAATAATAAACATAAAAATGGTGGTGATTGATACAGCTGAATGAATTATAAAAATAAATGTTTCTGCATGTGAATTTACTTCTAGTGATTGTGAGGGATGATCCAGATGTGAAAATATCACAATTAAGCGTATTAGTGAGATGAATGCACAACCAGATACCATGTGTTACCCAACATTGCCATGTAGTTTTTATAAAATGGTTGAGGATGCCACAATGGGGGAATGAGGCACTATAGTGGTCATGAAAGTAATGGCAGCAGAGGAGCCTAATGATAATGGGCACCAATGGCATCCTTTGTTCACTAGAAAACTGGGGGCTTCTAAGAATAGAGTTGGGTGTTGCCATATAAAAAACCCAATGTGAGAGGGCTTTCTAAACAGGTAGTATCTTTGAAGATGGTGCTAACTAAAAACTTAAAATTGTTTACCTGCTGTTCACAGAATTATTTAAAGCTCTGGGTATAAGGCAAATCTGTGTGGCTGATGAAATAATCTAATGAGGCCTGCCACCCCACTCTGAAATACTGAAATACAGTTAAGCACTATCTCACTAATAACCACAGTTATGAATATCATAAAATTATAGAGTCCATTGTGCATAATGAATGCATATATTAAGCAGTGTCACACTGTTAAAGCCTGTTCAGAGACCTTTTATCTTTGCTTCTAGAGTTCTAGTGAAGTATGAATCTTCCTGCCCTGACTTCCTCAGAATAGAACTTCATGATATAAAATCATTTAGTTACAGACTAAAATTTTATGCTCACCTTTGGGGTATCTCATTTTATATTTACTTTGTCCCTTTGATAGTATTCTTTGTGGTTTGTTGGAGGACAAAAAAAAAACTGGCAACCGGATACTATTCATTTTACCACATAAATAAGCTAACCTAGCTCATTATCTATACTGTCTATACCTGTCATACTGGGATCTTCTGTTATAAGCTTAGTAAAGAGACTACAATTGGCCTCTTGAAATCGTGACTTTACCAAAAAGTATGGAGGAAAGGGAGCACAAAAATAGATGTTAATAGTATCTAGAACACTTTCAGGGAATCAATAATTTCATCTTCTTTTGATACACTTTCCCTTACTTGAGGAATTTGATATACCTTCCCTTACTTGGGAATTTTCTTGATATCTTTGTTAATTAAACTCCAATCTTTGTAGTCACCCTAATAAAATACTTTGAGTTGAGCCCTTAATTCTTTCTTTTATTCATTGAAAAATTAAACAATCCCTAGTCAGACAAAATCAGTTAATTCTGTCTACCAAATGTATCTTCATCACCATGATAAAATCAGAGTGAAACTTATAGCATTTTCTGACCTTATGTAGTTTCAGCCCAAAATAGAAAAACAATATTCAGGATCTAGTTTTGTGTAGTAAAGTGTTAACTCAGTGGTTTGGGATTTTCAAACACTTCCCAGTCCAAGTAAAAGAAAGCCATGTTACTGCTTTGTGGAAGATGAAACCCTTTGGAATGTATTACCTGTTAAGGGTGATGGTGTATAATTTGGGCCTTGGGACATGAAAATGTATTGGTTCTTTCCCACTGATGTCACAAATGCCTGAGGCTGCATGACTTATAAGGAAAAGAGTTTTATTTATCTCATGGATTTGGAGAATGAGAACTCCAACTGAATGATTTCAACTCTGGTGAGTGTCCCTCAGTTTGTGTCCCTTCATGCATATGGCTTCAGAGTGAAACCACATGCCAGAAGAAGAGTTCATATGGCAGAACAAGAAGGCAGAAAGCAGGGAGGGGCAGGTCCTTCCCTAGCAATTGGGAGCAGGAAGGTGGTGCTCAATTGCTCTCCATCTGGTTTCTATTCAGTAGGAAAAGCTCCTTCAGGGAAAATTTTCAAGAGGAAATTTGTGTTAGGAACTACTGATCTCACTATTGAAGATGACAATCACAGGAATTTGGTACTAATAAGAGTACATGTTGTTGTATCTATACCAGGTGACATGGTTCAGAAACCTTTATAATAAGTTTGTGGAAAGAGTTTGAAAATTTTTGGGGAAATGGGTTACAGAATCCCTAGACTTTCAAAAACAATCTTAACAGGTGACTCCAATGGGGCTTAGAAGATCAGAATACAGATAGAACTGTGGACAGCAATGGCTATGCTGATGAGTTTTTGGATAGAAATGAGAACTGTCTTGGAAATTGGTCAAGGGGTATACGTCTTATGTTCTAAAAAAAGAAAAATTATTTACATTTTGTCCATGCCCTGAAAGTTTGAGAGGCTCAATAAAGATCATGGACTAATTGCTATGATGGAGGAAACTTCAAGGCAGCACAAATTTCAAACATTTTCATGGGTATTACTGGCTGCTTCAGTCATGTTTACAGTGAGAAGAAGTAAGTTTAAATCAGCAGAGAAATGAAAACATGCAGTTTGGCAAGCAAAGGAGCATATTAATAGTGGCCAAGGAGACAGAAGTTGATCAAGAGATTAGAGACATTCCAAAGAAACCAAGTACAGTAGGAAAGGTGCCTTTGGACTTCTCAGGAATTGGCAAGGCCCCATCAATTCCAGGCTCAAGGATATAAAAAATATAAACTCGTTTCAAAGTCTGCTTTGAGAAGGAAGCCCCAAAGTGCCCTCATCCAGCAAGACAATTGCTGTCCTGAGATTTGTTTCCTGGTATCAGCTGGGAAGGCACTCAGAAGCATATGCAGGCTTGGTTGAAGTCCATTCAGGTGTAACTCCCATTAGCAGCAAAACTTGGCATCAACTAGGTGATGCTGGTTTCACAGGCTTGCAGAAGGGAAGAGTTGTGGGTCACAGAGGCTTCCACTGAGATTTCAAAGGAAGGTCTGGGAGGCCAGGTGATGTGTGGTGGGGTTGGAAGCCCTGCAAAAATGCCTTGATATAATGATGTGTGAAACTGTTGAGAGTGAAGGTGAAGCTGCTGTGGAGAAGTTAGAGGGTCCAGAAGTACAGAACACTTGCCATGGGAGGTGCCATCCGTGACCTGATCCAGTCCATCAGGGTGGGTCTGCTCCAGTCCTTTTGATCTCACATCACACCCTGTGTCTGAAATACTATACATGGAATTACAGGATTTATTCTATACCCTGATGAATTTTGGTCCCTTCTATGTACCTATTTACCCCCTTTGAAATGGGAATGTGTCTCCTGCCTCTGTCCCACGTTATTTGTTGGAATATAGCTTTTTAAACAGGGAGTCACAGCTAAGAGTGTGCCCTGATTTTTAGGGGAGACTTTGGTCTTGGAGATGCTAGAACTGTTAAGACGAAGGGAGTCTTTGGAAATTAACTCAGTGCATTTTGCATTATGGGATACACATGAAATTTTTGGCATGGGGGCAGAATGTTAAAGTTTAGATCTGAAGTGTGCCCCAATAAGTTATCTGTGAAATGCTTTATCACCAGCTGGTGGTATGATTGGAAGGTGGTAAATATTTCAAAAATTTGTACCTGGTTGAAGGAATTTAAATCAGTGGGAGCATGACCTTGAAGGAAGTATTGGGATCATCATAACTTCCTCTCTCTTCTTGTCTTCAATGAGGTGAGCAGGTTGTTCCACCATGGACTGCCCAATATACTTTCCATTTCCATAGACCCAAGGCAACAGGGCAAAGCAAACATGGAAAGAAACTTCTGAAACCATTTGCCAGTATAAATTTTCCCTTGATTTAAGTCATTCCCTTGATTTAACTCAAGTATTTTGTTACTGAGACAGAAAGCTGACTCACATACCGGTATTAATTTTTATATGTATTTGGAACTACTAAGTTTCAAGTTTTTTCAAGGGTGTCAGGTTCTTCATTGTAATTATTCCATAGAATACTCTTTCTATAAATTCAGAAAGAAAAATGTTTTAAAGCTAATTCCATCTCCCTATTCAGAAACATTTTAGGTGTCTACACTATACAAATATTCTCTCATGTTTCAAAGAATTACAGTTTCTTTCAACTTCTTATGGTTCATAAAGTATCTTGTTTACAATAATTTAGATTCATCATTATAAATGGGAATTGTTATTTCTTTTGCTTCTATTTATTTTAATTTTTGATGGTGTCTTGGAGTAATCTTTATATTTGTTCCTTTTTCTTGCTTTTTGATTAGTATCCAATTTATGAAATTCCTTAGAAGTGTGTCACTTTGATGGAGGGATCTTCCAGCTCTGTTTTTCTTGAGCCTTTCCCACTAGAACAGATATGAAAAAAATACATGATGAAAGAAATACAAACAAGAAAGGACATGGAGAAAGCAGGTATCTCCTGCATTCTTTAGAGCAACCTGATCTTTTCCCCACCAACCTTGGTTAAAAAAAAGACACCTGCCCATGTATTTCAGTAAAACTTGTGAACTAAAAGTCAAATATTCCTTTAGTATTTGGAAGGCAGCTTTCATGGTTTCTACTGTCATCCTTGGGTACCATGTAATTCTCCAAAGGAGTCTTTGGGAAAATCAGGGAAGCACAAAATTTTAAAAAATCTTTCCCAATCATTTATCATTTTAAAATTCCTTTATTTACCTTTACATTCTTTTATTTTGTGAATACTTTCATTCCTAGTGAAAACAAGATAGTCTGAATCTCACAGGCAACACAACAAGACTCCTCCCCTAAAATGTATTGACAGCTATGGAAGGGACCCTAGTCTTGTAATGATCACCCCTGGGTTCTTCAGTGACCAGGGAAGAGCTCAAGCCTATAAGAAATGACAATGCCAGACAGCTACCAGCAGTCATTGGGCTACAGGATAGTAGGACATAGAGAGTGAGATTTGTCATTTGTATATGTGCATGTTTGGGAAATACCTTCAGTTACACTGTAGCAGCAAGGACTGAGTAGATCTAATTGTGTTGCATTTACTACTAAACCTACTGGGGAAGTTTGGGAAGAAATCGATGGCATGATCTAGAAATCTTCAGGGGAATATCTGAGATCACTGGTTAAAGGATATTCCTTTTACTAAACCAATGGTAATGACCACATAGAAAGAGAGTAAGTCTACAATTTCCAGAGACATAGGGCCCCAGTGGAATCTGTCTTCTCATCTCAGATTTATGGTACATAACTCCTCTAAGGAACCATGAAAGGGTTCACTCACCCATTTTCTATATCTTGGAGGGAGTCAGGCAGTTGATGATTCCTGGTTTCTGGAAGGAGGAAGACAACAAGGCTAGTAAAGACGCAGGAGGCTGCATAGATGATCCAGGGCAAGGGTTCAGCATATGTCTCCAGGGTCATCAACAGGGGAGCCACAGCTGCTCCCAAACTACCGCAAACTCCAATGATTCCAAAAGCTGTTGCCCTTGGAGCATAAACAACAAGGCATAATAAATCTGTTGAGAATGCACATGGGTTTGTGTCACCTTCATGCATTAATTATTGGAGACCTAAAGGGGTATGCTTTGTCATGAGAAGTTTGATGATGTGCTCTTGCTTTTGAAATTTTTGTTGGTTTGCTAGCAAATTTTCTCAAGTTCACAGTCTATTAAGACATGTTTTATCATTTAGAAATGTATTGTTCATTTATTTAATTTTGCTTTATTGCTCATTTATTTTATTTTCTTATTCATTTACTTTATTTTATTGCTACTTTTCAATTATACAAATTATTGCATACATTTGTATATGAACATAATTTTGTCAAGTTCATTTTATAGTTCCCCCTCTATCCTGACTCTCTCCAATCGCCTATTCTAGAAGTTTCCTTCAATTATATTGAAAATTCATGGTTCCCCACTTTTTTCTTTCTAGCTTTCATATATGAGAAAACATTCAACCCTTGAGTTCCTGAGTCTGGCTTATTTTACTCTGCATGGTCTTCTCAAATTCCATCCATTTACCTGCAAATTACATAATTCTCTTCTCTTTATGCCTGCATAAAACTCCATTGTGTATATTTACCATATTTTCCTTATGCACTCATCTGTTGTTGGACACCTGGGCTGGATCCATAACTTGGATATTGTCAGTTGCAAAATAGCCTCTCAAATTTAGGTGACTCCAAAGAATACATGAGATGTACATTAGTGGTATATTATCACACCTAAAAGTACCTAGCAAAAAGCTAACTTTGAGTAAACTGTGGCTGTAATTGTTATCATCACCACTGATTATTTGTGTTTTCTTTGCTTGAAAAGTCAATGATTTGGAAACAGGCCCTTTTTACCCTGATAGAGGACCTGTGAGATTTTGTACCTGATGACGGTGGGGAGCAGTTCATTTGCCTGGGTCAAAGAACAGGTAATAGAGGCAAAACAAATTCCTCCTCCCAAAGTTGTCAGAATCATACGCACAGTCGGCATTTCTGGAAAGAAGATGATCCAGGAGAGTCAGGGTCTTAGATGAAAGTATTGGTATCCCCCAAATCCAAGTGGAAAACACCCTTATTGGAGATATTCACAGTGTAAAATATACTGTGGATAAACTGCACAGGAGTGAAATTTGTGACCAAAATAAGTTATTACCTGAATATTTTAAATTATGGTGAATAAAAAGTTTTTATAATTTTATTAATTCTCCTTGCCTCTCCAAGATTTGTCAAAGAAGGAGAGAGAATGCTGGATGCAGGAGGAACTTGTTCTTTTTCTTTCCAGTGTCTCTTGTATCATTTATGAGGAAGATAGGACTGTGATGTGGGAATTACTGAGGAGTGTCAGACCCAGGCACTCAAGGAATTTAAAACCATGATCCATGCCCAGTAGTAATATGGAGTGAAGATTATAAAAGACTGTTATAAAAGAACAAGAATACTATTTTAATGGACAGCCTGGAGAGTAGCCAGATCTAGTAAAATGCATGAAGACTCAAGAATAAGGACTTCTCTTACGGAAACATGTCACACTTTGCAAATGACTGAAGGAAACTTTCATATAGTCAGTTATCTTCTCTAAGAAGAAAATCTCATGAGAGCTTGAAACATCGGAGTAGGCTTTCTTGCAGAGCAGCAAACTGACATTATTGTTGACATTCAAGAGAAATGGAGCCTATAGTTGGGCGTGATGGCACACAACTATGATCTCATCTTTTCTGGAGGCTAAGACAGGAGGATTGAGAGTTCAAAGCCAGCTTAACCAATGTAGCAAGACCCTAAGAAATGTAGTAAGACCCTGTCTAAAAATAATACAGGCGAGAGATGTGGCTCAGTTGTTAACTGCCACTGTGGTACATTCCTGGTACTAAAAAAAGAGAGTGAGAGAGACTGAGGAGTGGAACTCACCAATGTGGGATTTTGTAAAACACATTACAACAAAGGAGTTCAGCAAAGCATGATGATGGATATGTTGTTGCTACTATACACTTCTTCTCACTTGAACACAAGGGGTGTTATTTCCTTAAGTCAAAACAACTCTCCAATCCAGGGATGCATTTCTGGTTACCTACCATGAGACTAATGTATAGACACACAGAGTTCAGGAATAAATTATCACTGAAGGTGAAGTAATAAGACAGAGCCAGGCAGAGGAAGTGATAGTACAGTGTGGTCATAATAGCTCATGATGGTAAGTCTAGACCCTTTATTTTGCAATGGGTAAATGTTGTACTGCTGACCTAGAGAAACTCAGAACTCAGTGGCACCATGTTCCAGGTACTTATTGATCATAATGAAGAGAAACAGGCATCTGAACAAACTTTACTGACTTTTGGCTGTTTACCTAGCAAACTAATGGCAAAATCTGTCCTAAAAGCCCAACTTGTGTCAGGAAGACCTTAGAACCCAATTTTTCTGATTCCTATAGGTGCAACCTGAAAAATCCTGAGGGAAGTGAGGAACATATTTCCTTTTTCACCCTGTGCTCTTTCCTCACCTGAAGGCACAAATATGGTGGCCAGCAAAGTGATTCCCATCATGGACATGAAAAAAAAATATACTTATACGATGGCCCCTGTGTTTCAGCGCTCAAAGTGAAAGATAATTGGCTGGGAGTTTGACTACACCAAGGAGAACCTGGACCAGGAAAACATTGATCCCCAGGTGCTGGAGGTGGAGATTCAAGCCAAAAGTAGGCAGCACTATTGCAAATCTGTAGCAAACACACAGAAAAGACACATGCCACAAGGGTTAGCACTTATATCCTTTAGATAATGGTAATACTGGCTCAGTCATTTGTTGGGGTTAAAACATACAGGCATATCTCTTTTTTGGAATATGTGCCTATGGGTGATTATTTTTTAATTATTAGCTGTAATAAAACAAATGTATGATGCTGGAGGCCATCAGGGATGTTTAGTTTGGGGGCATGTGAGGAATATTGTGGAAATATAATACAATCCTTAAAGGGTCTTTAGGATTTTAGAGTTTTTTTCAGCTCTTGATCTGAGTGTTGGAAATATCTTTACATATGTAAATATGCAGTGAGTTACATATATTTATGCAATTCACTCTTTGAAATTTTACCTCCATTAAAGCAAACAATGAAGAAAATCAGAGACAATGTCTGTTCATAGTTGGAGTTTGCAGCATCAGTCTCTGGTGTGAGCCTAGCTGTGTGATATGATAAACAGGACTCCTCATTGTGCAATGGTTCTGTGTCAGTCTTTACATGACCCTCTGACTGTCCACAGCCATATTGGTGCTCTTTATGTCTTCCTCATCTTTTATCTCCAAAGCTGTGCTCACCACATATTGTACACTTTGAAGGAAGAAATAAAAGAGTCAGGATCAGGAAAAGTAGGGGGAAAACGCCCTTCTCACAAATATTTTCCAGGCTATTTAGTAGTAATAGTAATTTATAAATGTGCATAACAAACTACTTCTACCAGAACTCTTGTACTTATTAATTTATTAGTTATTTGGAGATATTAATTCCATTGCCATGTCTCCTCTACAAATATGATAATACTATAAACGTCTTCAGAAAAATTTTGTGAAGAAGGGAATTCAGAGAATTGACCTACTCCCATGACTGGGGAATTCTACACCATTGGGAATGGCCCGACAGCTTTCAGCCCTAGCTTCAGTAGTGGAAACAGGATTTATGCTTGTGTTAGAGAGGCATCTGTGGTGATACCCCCTGCACCAAACACATAAACCCATGACCACTGGCCATTGTTCTTGTGGTATTAATAAGAATTGGCTGCAAGAAGACCTTAAATCTGTCTCAGATGAAGGCTGCAATGCCTGAGAGTGGTCTTCAAACCCTTCCATTATCAAAGTCAAACATCAGGGCATACTGGCTTAATTTGGTACCAGTTACAAATTTTTGATGAGCTTACAGAAATGAGTGGAGCTTCCAAAGATATTTAGGTGGGTAATGCTAGCTGACATTAGGGCCTTTACAAGTTGTCCTTCCTGGTAACCCTTATTTGGGAAAGAAGCAGCACCTATTCAAATAGGGATATGCTGGTTCTTCACATTTTATGAATGTATCTTTCTCTGTGACTTCCTTTCTATGCCCATCATCACACCATGATTTGGGGAAAAGCCTGAAATTGTCTCAGTTTTCCATGTGTGCCAACATAGGTGCCTTGAAGTCAGTTCATACTGATTTATAAGAGCTCTTTGTTAAATTTTTAATGATTAAGAGCCTGTTGACATCATAAGGTTAGCTGGAATTTGACTCTGGTGGAATTTAGCAATCCACAGAAATTAATAATTGCTACAATTCTGGACTCTAGGATTTTTTTCAAATCTTTGAATGTTGGAGTTAAACATTTACCAGGACACCAGTCACTTTGCCCTTCTGAAGTCATTTGGACTCTACTCAAATGCAAATAACCATATACCCTGACTGTTGAAACCTGGATGGTTCTACCCTAATCTCGAAGACACATTTCAGACACTACAATTTTCAAGATGCATTCAAAGCCTCCATCTCTACATTGAGGTTAGGTTTCCATCTTTGGGATTCACTTTGCCACATTACTTGACTGCTCAAAGGCTGTATCAAGCCCACTGACCTGGTGAGGATGGGTGATCTTTCTGAAGACAGGAGCTGGAAATGCTTCTGTCCCCTATCTGTCAAAGAATTTGTCACAGGGAGTTATGGAACATGCTCAGAAAGGAAGTGCAAAAAAGGAAAAACAGTTATGGGGAAAGAGGGCAAAACACACAGACCCAGGGCAGAATGCATATGGAAGCTGAAAGAACTGACATTCCAGTGCCACTTGAGTAATAAAACAAATAAATTTAGCTTTGGGACATTGTTTATGAACTTGTTCATTGATAGACAATGGTGATAACTATTTTCTGCTTCTCAAATTACTTTTTAGTGTATAATCAATATTGAAAAATCTTCCCATATTTAACAATACATCTTAATGATTTTGGAAGTAACTGCATACCTGTGAAATTGTCACCAAAACCTATACATCAATATACTGAGTCCCTTCAAAATTTCTTTTCCCCCTGTGTATTCATTTTTATTTTTTATTTTTATAAGAATAGTTAGAACAAGATCTGACCTCTTGTACATTTTGAAGTACATAATATAGTATTGTTTATTACTGTCAGAATGCTATACAGTGGATTTCTAGGACTTATTTGTCTGATGTATTTCCACGATGAATATGAGAATGCAGAGATCTCCTCAAGATCCAAATTTGAATTCCTTTGGATATATACCAAGTTGTGGGACTGCTGGATCAAATAATTCTATGCAAATTTTTGAGGAATTTCCATATTGTTATCCACAATGGTGGCATCAATTTACATCATTATCATCAGTGTGTACAAGGGATTTTTTTCCTCCACATTCTCATCATTAGCTAACCTTGACTTAATAATAGCTCTCCTAACAAGTATAAGGTAATGTCTCAATGTGGTTTTGATTTCTACTTCCCTGATGCTTAGTGATGTTAAGCATTTTTTTACATGCCATTTTGTCATTGTGTCTTCCTTAACACATGTCCACATTTCAAGACAAAAGAAACAGAAACACAAAAAACAACTTACAGAACACAGTAAAATCAGTAATAAGGAGGTACAGGAAAAGCATCAGATGAAATTCAGCAACCTCTCATCATAAACCTCTCATCAAATTAGGTATTCAAGGATCATATCTCAACACAGTAAAGCCCATTTGTGAAAATCCCATGGCTAACATGACACTGATGGCATCAGGGGAGCCTAAAGCTTTCTTTTTAATGTCTAGAACAACGCAAAGATGACAATCTACCACTTCTTTTCTATGTAATATTGGAAATATTCAAGTAATCAGAACAGAGAAAGGAATAAAATGCATTCAAATATGGAGAAAAAGAAGTTAAATTACTCTGCTTGCAGATGACATGAGCTTATAGAGAGAAAATGCTAATGAGTCCATCAAAAAGCTAGTAGAACTCATAACCAAATTAAGTAATCTGTGTGATACAAAGTAAACATGAAAAAATCCATATGATTTCTTTCTTTTTTTTTTTTTTTGGCTTTTCAAAGTTGCTATTTTTATTCATTTTTCATCTTACTAT